ACTCACAGTATATAAAATTAAACATGCATATATATATATATAGTATAAATATACAAATAAAATACATATTATATAAATAAACATATAAATAAAAACAATTTATAAAAACTACGCTTTTTTCTGTACTGAGGATTAATACAAGGTCCTGGCAATGATCAATATCCCTAAGTCTTTTAAATTTTTATTTTGAGATGGAGTCTTGATAACTTGTTAAGTTTCAAAGGCTGGGCTTGAACTTGTGATCCTCCTGCCTCAGCCTCATAGAGTGCTGGAATTACAGACATGTGCCACCATGCCTAGCCTAATTAAGTATTATTATTTGAAGTTTGTTGTTTCAATCTAATCATAGAATTATGATGACTTAGAGTGGGAGAAAAGGACATTTAAAAGGAATTTCTTTTAGCTTATTGTGCTTTTTTCTCCCAGGTAATAATTTGGCTACTCTTTCAGGACTTAATAGGGAAAATGGTGGAATGCTAGTAAGAGACTGATTAAAGACATCATTATTTTATCACAAATTTTTCAGAATTCACAAATGCTATACAATCTCTCATATTTCAAACTTCTAAGCCTTCATTCCACGTCTTCCTTTTTCTCTATCACTTTATGAAGATTAAAAAAAAAATAATTGGGAGGCCAAAGGAAGCCGAGAGAACTTCAGGAGACTGACCCAACCAGAATGAACAAACTGGGGGATTTAGTCCTTTTTATATTAGAAGTCCTGTGATCTGAATATCACATTCTTGAATGTTTTCTTGTGGGTTCCTACCCTAATTTGTAGAGCAAAAACCTTATTTTTGAAGATGCATTTGCTAAGAGCAGCCAGCAACTACGGTTTCTTTCTGTGGATGTGTCATCCACTTTGGTAGTGCTTAAAATAAAGTACTCAGATAGAAGGGAAGTTGAAACAGACAACACGCAATATAATACAAAATGTTATGAGTAAAGTGTGTTACTCAGATCCTTCTAAAATACATTTCTCCCTTTATTTTGAAGGCCACAGCCTAGGCATCTTGGCTAATGGATCCAGTCTCTTCCTTTGATCATCAATCAGGTTATCTTTTCGGGAAACTAAGTCTCAGCTTGGATGACAGTTTTAGCTGAGGCTGACATGAAACATGAACTGTTTAATTATTAGTTCCCTGAAAAGCATGTCTTTTCTCTCTTTAAATTAATAATTCTTCAGCTGAAACCACAAGCAGAAGTGCCATCAGATCTATCAGATGCTAAGGGGGAGGAAAATTATTTGATCTTTATTTTTTTTCACCCTGGGCAGTATGTAGGCTCGGGCTGTAGGTGCTCACTTTCCAGATGACTCCTGCTGGCCCTAGGTGACAGATTTTAGTCCAATGAGGATAAAAATAAATGAGATATGAGTGCATTTATTTAACCTCCTAGGGCTTGGGGAGAGTTTGTGTGGTGAGGAGCCTGGTAGATAGTAGATGCTCAATGAAAGTTCAGAATAATTAAATATGAGGGATGAAGGGGCAAAATATTGAGAATGAGCTAGGCTGTTTTCAGCACCCATTTCTCATTTTCTCTGTGTCTGCCTATATTCAAAAGCAGTAACAGAGACCAGAGTGATTAGCTACATGTGACTGCACAAGCTGAGTGTCTGCACTGCACGTGAAATATGACTAGTGTAAGTTGAAACATACAAGAAGTATAAACTACATACTGGCTTTTGAAGACTTAGTTTGAAGAAAGAAACGCAAACAGTATTTATATTGATGACATATTGACTAATAATATTTGTGATATATTAGAATTAAATGAAATAATAATATTTCACCAGTTTCTTCCTACTTTTAAAATGTGACCTTTACTGCTTTTAAAATATTTGACCAGTAGAAAATTTAAAAGTATCTGTATGAGTTGCATTATATTTTTATTGGCCAGTGATGGTCTGTACTTGAGAAGTAATTCAGGTAATGAAACATCACTGCTTTCAACACAGGGGAACATGTTTCCCCACTCACCTCCCCTATAGCTGATAGTCTTTACCGGGGTCTAAAACATAAGACTGACCACACACACACACACACACACACACACACACCCTCCCAGCCAGCTGGCTTCACTGGGGCTCAGTAGAGGGGATGGACAGGAATCACTGGCTTTTCGATTCTTCCTCCTACCCTAAGACACACCAGGACTTACACTGAGGGCCTGGGCCCAGGGCCACATTGACCTACAGCAGTAGATTGGCCAGGTCAGGGCTCTTCGCTAAGTTGGGCTGGTTCTGGTAACCCTTCCGTTTCCCCTCGCTCTTCTGCTCCGGAGCCTGGCCGGATGCACAGAAACTCTCTGGGCTTTCTCCGCCTCGCTATTTCCCTGAGGGCCTGTGACAGAAGTCTAAATGGACCACCTGCACAGCTCCACAGCCCGGCCGTGGGTCCAGGGCAAATGTTGGCTGTGATGGCTGTGATCTCTCTCCCTCTCTCTCTCTCTCTCTCTCTCTCTCTCTCTCTCTCTCTCTCTCTGGCTGAGGAATAACTCTTGACGCCTGACCTACTAGGAGTGCTCCTCTGAGCCCCAGGGACCTGCTCTGGTCCAGCGGGCTGTGCTTGTAATCTCGTTCCGCTGAGCTTTGTTTCCCTGCATCGCCTGAAGGGAAAAGGGAAGGGAAAGGAAACGTCTTCAGGTCCTGCCCCCTTCTGAGCGACCCAGTTTCCTCCCTCCTTCATTCCCTCCTCAGGCTCCTACTGGGGCCTAGGCAAAGGTGGAGCGGCTGGATTCAAGAGGAAAAGCCTTCAAGTCTTTCTCCAAGCAGCTACGCTCTCAGAAAGCCTGTCCGATGCCTGGACTTCCGCTCTGGACTTCGTGGCCAGGGAGCAAGGACTTGAAAGACATCCTTAGCTTTCTGAGGCCCCGAACTCTGAGCTCAGGGTATAATAAATGAGAAGACACGGACCAAGGAGGACACCACCACTCACTCCCCTTCCCTCCCGCGGACAACCCCCCCCCTCCCCGCCACACGGGAGAGATGTAAGGGAGGGTTTGCAGTGCTTTGGCTAAGTGATTAGCACCCAAAGCTCCTGCACCCAAAGGAACTTTCAATAATCTCTTCCTGTCTACTTCTGCTGCAGAAGTTAGTACCTGCCCCAGTGCAGCAAAAATCCTGTTGGGTGAAAATCTGTGGTTTTTATGTGGGAAACAAGTGTAGAGTGTGCACAGGCACAAGCTAAAGCCTGGCTGTACACTCGCCCTGGTCCTCAACAGCCACTCAGTCTTTAGGGTATTGGGAAACAGTATGGCTAGGTTCACACTTGCTCACAGTGGAGTGAGGAGAGCATCTGTGGTGTGGACAGGGTCCCAGAGCTTCTTCACCAGTCTCATCCTGTCCCTCCAGCCTTGTGGAAGAGGACTAACCAGAGCTAAGAGTAGGGAACGACTACTGACAAGACTACTGTCTCCTTTCTTTTCTGTGTCCACTGCTTCTCCAATCTTTGGTTCTTGCCATTATAAATTTTTCTTTTAAAATCACATTTTCAACTCTAAGAAAAAGCTTTATTTAGATACCTACTTGCCACAGTCTTATTTTAAAATCTTCCCCATCTTGTTTTCTCCATCCACATCTATTTACTATTTACCAATCTATCTGTACAGAATAGGACACTTCTACTTCCTGGAACACTGTATTTTGGGGCCTAATTGATTCTGGTAATTAATTTGTTCTACCTGCTAGATCAGATGGAAATCCTACCCCTTGCCCAAGGATTAGCACTTGGCTTTCTAACACCTCCTCTAATTATCTAATAGCATGGGTTGTGAGGACTCAGTCTCTATTAAAACACTTTTGCTATTAGCAGTAGTGATTGGAATTGTGATGACGACTAGATTTCAACAAATTAGAGCTTAAAAATTGGGAGATGGAAGAGAAGTGGCTTCTTTTAATTTCCCTGAGTTTAACATCAATAATTAGAGCAATTTTCAGAAATGTGAGCCAAAATTACCCCTGCTGTGTTGTAGATGATCACCTTAATTTTAGCAAATTGACTCCAAGGGAATAAATGTGACAGATTAGAAAAAGACAAACAGGAAAAAGAAAAAAAGAAACAAAAGATTGGAAGGGGGAAATGAAAGGAAAGAGGCTGGGGAAAGGAACAGGAGACAAAACCTAGTACAATTATTTAGGGAGCTAGGAATAGAAGGAACAATAGAGCAGAAATAGTAAACAAAATGAGGAGTGAGAAACGGACATTGGGGGAGCATGAAGGATAGCATGAAGGTAGCTGTGGATATATTTAAATGACTAAATTACTTGACTGACGAAGATATAAATCTCCTCCTACTCACTATGACAGGCAAAGAATGTTATGCTCATCATCGCTTTGTAAATTTTACTTTACGAATCCAGTAACCCCTCCCATCAATTTAAGCCGACTGTAGCTACTTAAAGTAGTGGGCACTCTTTTTATTCACTTTCTCACCTCCTTTTGCTACCAATTACAGAAATTCTTAAAAACTTAGGCCCAAACTCCTGAATAAGTGTTTTCTCCCTATTGCTTTGAGGCCTTGTTTAGTGTCTTCTAAGAAGGAGTTTGTTGGGCAACAGAGCCTTTTCTCAATTAGCTTCCTTTTGAAACAACCGGGACAAAGCAGCTTTTGCAGTGGAGGGGCAGAAGCTGAGGTCTAACAGCCCGGTAGGAACCGGAATCCAGACTGCTCCGCTCTCCCCAGGCTTGGCCAGGAGCCTTCAGCACCACGGACAGATCCCGCCCCGCCCCGAGCCCACCGCACCCTCCCCTCTGCCTCTGGCAGCCTCGCCATTGGCTCTCCCGGCTCCCCTCTCCAAGCTGCCAATTCTCTAACACGTAGACCCAACCTACCCAGAAGCTTCTTCTCGCCTCTCCAGCGCCCGGGATAGCCCAGGCCGAGGAGAGAGCAGTGGCGATCTGAGTCTCCGAGAGTGGTTTCGACTCTCGACCAGGCTTGCTGAAGACGCTGCCTGCTTCTTACACTTCGTTCCAGCCCGCGTCCCGTGGCAGGCGCTCAAGATGAATCTCAACTTCACCTCCCCTCTACATCCGGCGTCTTCTCAGAGGCCCACATCTTTCTTCATTGAGGACATTCTGCTGCACAAGCCCAAGCCGCTGAGGGAGGTGGCCCCTGACCATTTCGCCAGCTCTCTGGCCTCTCGGGTGCCTCTACTAGACTATGGCTACCCACTCATGCCCACACCCACCCTCCTGGCTCCTCACGCCCATCACCCTCTGCATAAGGGAGACCATCACCATCCTTATTTTCTCACCACCTCGGGTAAGTAGCAGGGCCCTCATGGTGTTGGAAGGGAAAAAGCAGCTCTTCTAACACAGACATTAAGCCTGTGATGGAGCAAAGGAAACCCCAGCTCTATCTTGGCCTGGCTTGGTGGCATTCCCTCCTCAAGTGGCAGTAGAAGGTTCAGGGAATGGCCCTGAGCACGTAGAGCTTCCTTGAAACAGCCAGTCAATCGGGAAATTTTGAGGTCACTGCACATTTTGTGAAAGAGACGCATCTGGCCAAGAGGCAGCTGGAGGTGGGTGTTTTTCAGCAATATTCTTAAAGGGCAGCGCTCAGTCAAATTGGTGATCTTCCTGGCCACTTTGCTCTATCTCTCAGTCCCAATTCTGATTCTTAGTATCTCCCCACTCACAAAGAGACCTTTGACTATCCCATCGCATGGACTCGAACTCAACTTTCCGGCTCAGAAACTGGGAACACTCTGCCTGGTCAGCTCTCTTCTTCCAGGGCTGAGCATAGTGAAATCCTGTGAAAGGCATAGACACGAATAAGGGTTTGGGATAATCTGATGAAGGAAGGGCTGGGCTGCCCAAATAAGGTCAGGAAGGGTAAAAATAAAACAAAGAAACATGCAGCTCTTTATCCCCTTTAGTTCCAAAGTTTGATATTTCAACTCAGGATCTTAACTTAGGCTGCCCTCCTCCACCCCAGGTACCAGGATTGCGGGAGACAGGTGCTAGTGGAGCGTGGATCAGAAAGTGTGGGACACTGGGATGCAAGGAAATATCTAGTTTTTTTTTTTTTTTTTTTTTTTTTTTTTTTTTTTTTTTTTTTTTTTTTTTTTTTTTTTTTTTTTTTACTGTCTTTCTTAGAAAGGTCACATCCATGCTTTCTTCCCTGGTGCTTTTATTCCAGCCAGAACAGAATGAAGTAATTTGTTTAGTTGGTTGCTGAGTGAAGTAATGAAAACTCTGGTAGGTACAGAAGCTGGGGAGGCAGGGGGCAATTCATGAAATGTGAGAGTCTAGATTCTGGAATCTAGAACAAAAGCTAAAAGCATATATGAAGCCACATAAACTGGATCCTGGGCCGCTGGGTTGGAGAGTGGATTCCAAAGCCTGTGTTGGGGTCAGCATCTCTCACTGGCTTCACAACCCAGCTAGTGACTGTCTTCTCTGCTGCACTGACACTGGTCAGACATAGCAGTGGCCAAATCACTCCTCTGTTACTGTTGTTTTTTTTGTTTTCATGTTTTCTCTGGGATTGGCAGATATTGGAGCTTGTGGCAACCTCTGCTAGCTTGGTGCGTTTCAGACACTGAGCAAAGCCAGGGAAGATTGGGCAACAAGAGAAGTCTATCTCGATCCAGTCAGGAAAAAGGCTTCAGCCTTTCTGCTCCGCTGGGTTTAGAGTCAGAGGGAGAGAATGAAAACCAGCTTTGAGAGCAGGTATTCAGTGCGATTCTGAAATGGACAAGGAGATGTGAGAGGTGGGCTCCGAAGCTTCTCCGGACAAGAATTCTGCTGTTTTCTTTTGCAGGATAGGGTGGCTGGGGTGGGGTGGGGTGGGTGGGTAAGGGAGCACAGAGAGCAAGATCATATCTCTTCTCTCCTACTAGACTCAGAACAGCACTGAGAGTCACCAGAGGTCTGGACAGATAAGGGTGGACAGCTTCCTGACCCTGATGTTGTCAAGAAAACTTCAAGAGGCACAAGGAAGAATGAGCGCAACAAGCCCCACAGAGCTCTCCCTAAGGATGCGTTTTATTTTATTTATTTTTGTTTTGTTTTTTGAAACGGGGTCTCACTATGTAGTCCAGGCTGACCTTGACCTCACCATCCTGTCTGCTTCAGTTTCCCAAATGCTGGATTACTGCGGTGCACCAGGCTGAAGGCAGTTTTTGAAAGGCCTCTGGATCTATTTTCTAATTTTCGTTTCTGTTTTACTTGCTCCTTATTATTTGTATTTCTAGATGGCCTTCTGGGGGGAAAAAAAAAGAAAAAGAAGATCTCTAAGCGCCAGTTTTGCAGCTTTTCCAGCCCTGCCCTGGGATTCTCTGGAGAAGGGTTCTGGGATCTTTGGAGCAGGCAGGAGACTGGTGGAGGCCGGATGCCAAGGCCCAGGGAGTCACTGGGCTCTGTCGGAAGCGCTAGGCGTGGGGAGTGGAGTGGAGTGGAGTGGGCGAGGTTGCTTCCTGGAGACCCGGACTCTGCCCACTGGGCTGCTCTTCTCTCATAGGAGTGCCAGTGCCCGCGCTGTTCCCACACCCGCAGCACGCGGAGCTGCCGGGGAAGCACTGCCGCCGCCGCAAAGCTCGAACGGTGTTCTCTGACTCGCAGCTCTCAGGCCTGGAGAAGAGGTTCGAGATCCAGCGCTACCTGTCCACGCCCGAGCGAGTGGAATTGGCCACCGCCCTCAGTCTTTCTGAGACGCAGGTGGGCGAGGAGGGGGAGCCCCATTTCCGCTTCGCTCTTCTCTCCTTTCCACTGTTAACGCTGAGCTAACCATGAGGAACACTTTCCGGGAGAAAGACTCCTCTTCTCCCTGGCTTTCCCCAAGACCCTTACTAAAAGCACTGATATTCCAAACTCAAGTTAACTTTCCGAAACAAAATTTCTCCAGCGAGGTTCTACAAGAAGGAAAACTTTCCGCGGGTGATTTTAATGATCACTTCGGTGTTAAGAACTCTTATTTCTACTCCTCCTTTACTACCCTTCAACCCAGGATATAACCCGGGTCAGAGGTAAACTAACAAGAGATTGGACCGGTTCTTTGGTTCCCCCCACCCCACCCCCCAAGACAGTCCCTCCCCCGCTCACTGGCCCTCGCCCTGCCGTCCTCATATCCACGCCCTCCCATCACACCCACATTCGGCCTCCTCTGTGTGCCCACTCAGAAGTGAAAGAGTATTTCAGTCTTGCTCCCGGCACCATTCACCTGCAGCCCCCGCCCCACAACTCCATCCTCTACTCCCTTTGTCTCTCCTATCCTTTGCCCGAAAATCAACTCGCCTTGAGATCATTAGTACACGAGGACTAAGTCTGGTTTTCACGCCCATGAAAATCAGCAAGTTCAGTCCTCACCTTCCTGTCCAGGGGTCCGTGCTGGACCAGGCATGTAGATGTCTCCGTCAGAGGAGCATGAAGGGAACACAGGGAAGACTCTTCCACGCAGCGCTTACTATTAGCGATCCTAATAATCACAGAACCGGTGATTACTAACCACGCCATTTTGATCCACATTACTTTGGGACAATTACCGCTGCGAGTCTTAGTTCGATTCTCATTCAGCCCAAGACTGTCATTTGTGAGTACTTCACTTCATTTAACCCAAGAGTGGAGCGATCACAACTCTTGGATAATTCATCTATGGGTTGCAGTACATTTTCCTGAGCAATTGCTCAGGTCTCAGTAACTCGGGTCTGGAAGAAGGACGTGATTTTATCTTTGTCTCCCTCCAATCAGGTGAAGACGTGGTTCCAGAACCGGCGGATGAAGCACAAAAAGCAGCTGAGGAAAAGTCAAGACGAGCCTAAAGCGCCGGAAGGGCCCGAGAGCCCCGAGGGCAGTCCCCGCGCTCCCGAGGCCGCCGTCGCGGAGGCTC